AACGACAACAACTCGTAATATCAGTTTAAAAGATAAACGGGGTCTAAAACATAGATCTAAATGACGATGGTCCAATCTGGTAATGAATACTATATAGAACGCGCCATACAGATTTGATCGAGCCTCTAAATGTTTTACTTAGATCTAACTTCAAGTAGCTCAGGGACATTTTTACATGTCAAGATCGAATATAAACTTATAAACATGTATAATGTTACCTGAAGCAAAGTAATGAAATTTATGGAATATCATGTAAATTGTATTTGATCTATCATTACAGTAGACTGTAAGTATGATACTACACAATGTGCAGGATTTGTATCTTGATTTTATTAACATTAAATCACATCTTTTTATTTACGTTTTCCATGATCATGGTCGTCGCCGGGAGCTGTCCATTCTAACACCATTGTTTTTCTGTATGGAACATACGTCACCGCTCTAAGATCAATAATTCTTGATGGTGCTATGACGTCAAAGATTAGGTCATCATCTTTTGAGGAACGCAAGAATATTGTTCCACCCGAAATTTGCCTTTGAATAGTTCCGTCTAATGGTATCTTTCTTACTGATTTTCTGACTGGATTAAGCTCTGAAACATTTCAAACAAAACAGCATAATCACTTGTCCATGTGTGGCAATTCGTGAACATGTATCAAACTTAGACTAAATATCTAGTCTTCGCGAAGTCAGTGAAACAAGACAGCCTTGAAAATTAGTGTTTTGGCTTTGTCTCAACCATACTGAAGTTTTCACTTAAAAAATGAAGAAGCAAATTAGAATGTTTAGATCGAGCACTTCGTAATTTTAAAAATATTTCTTGTGAGAAGATGGCATGCATATTTTATTCTTAGATGCCTTTCTAACAGCAGTGACTTTAATAGCAGACCTTGTCAAATGTTATAGTAATAATTGCAGAACCTTTTTAACATTATTGAGATTCTATGTATGCATTATATCTAGTATATTTTTCCCTAAAGATTGAAATACTTATTTATACCATCATTTACGACTGACGCTGTTTCTTCTTTCCTGAAAACAGACCCGGAACCACCAGACGACACTATGAATGTCACGTGATACGGACCACTTAGTTTTGGCGCTATGTAAATACGCGAGTAAATGCCATCGTTCTTTGCTATATCAGCTCCTACGATAAAAACACACACACAATATTTGTTAAAGATAGAGCTAGTGACTGATCACTGGATAAAATAAAAGATCTAAGATGTCAAATATCATAAATCATGTAAGCAAATCTTACTTTCATAAACCTTATATTTATCTATCTCTATAAATTAGGAATACAAAAGTTAAGAATCTTCTTACCTGCTTTGAGCATATTGAAACATTCAGTACAAAAGTTTAACCTTAAAAGGCAAAAATAGATTTATGCTAAGGTATCAATTTGTACGTTAGAATTTAAAACCTTCTTTATAAATGCAAACCTTTTATTCACATTTTTATAACAATAATAAAACTATCATGAACGCAACTTCAATTTCTAACAAAATGTTGGCATCACATTAATAAGATTGTCAACTACCGGTATTCAGATAGTATTCAAACTTCACGGGGATTCTTAATCTAATATACCTGCTCCATTGTCTAGAAGTGTCAAGTAATCAACTGTTCCATCTGGCGTCTCTACCTTTGCTGTGACATTAAAACCTATCAGAGGACTCGCCCCTTGTGTTGCATCAACATGAAGAATCACAGATGTATTTGTGTCGTCTGCAAATTTTACAGACTGTCGCAAGACTAGTGGGTCTTCGTGTTCAGCGATGTTTTCAGATATAACTGTAACACGTACTTTTTGTGACGTCATCATTGATTGTGACAAGGTGTACGTCCATGTTCCAACCTGTAACGATTAAACTATCGAAGATAATGTTATGTAGATAAAAATATTTATAAATAAAAATGAAAATTTAACAAGATCTCTGTAAATAAACTCTAGGCAAATTAGGCGTGGTCTTTACCATGAAAGGAAGATCACTTTTTTTTATTCTTTGACAAATATTTAAAGCAGCATGCCTCCATATTCCCGCTAATTTTAATGAAAATTTTCAAAAAAGTAATCAAAAGTAAAACATTGTGAAGTGAACTTAGAAAAGTAATTAACACATTGCAAACGGCACTTTACAATCCACGTCAATGACCAAAAGGAGGTCAAAATGTGCAAAAATAGCCCTTATTTGTTAGTCACGCAGTAGAAATATGGTGAAAATACTGCAAAATCATCAATCGCACAAAACAATCATGTTACTAATAACTTGAATCTTGAATCAGTTTACTTTTCTTAAACTCTTAGTACAGTTTTCTAAAGTTTGATATTTTCTTAAACTATTTTGGCTAATCTGGACACATATATCTATGTACATATTGTTAATAAATTTCTCTGATTCTAAAGAAGTCGTAAAAGACGCGAGCTGTACCTGTATGTGCGGGAAATAAAACTGAATCGCTTTTGAAGCTTCATCAACAGAGTAAACGTTCGAGTCAGGTCCGTAGATAGTACCATTAGGCGATGTTATACGAATGTTAGGCAGCTCTTCTTCGAAATGAAAGATGAACGAAGTTTGCATTCCAAGAGTTTTATCTATCTCAACTGAGCTTGAAACTGGTTCATTACCTCGTAATTCAGTTTCCTCTTGACCTATCTATAAATTAGATAGAAATAGTCTAATCAGTTAATGAGGAACATACGTTATTAATGGAAATAACGTCATTGCTATTATTGACCAAACGCATCACGTAACGAGATTGATTGTTCACTAAAAAATCAGGAGTAAATGAGTTGATTTAATATATATCGATCCTAACATATGCAAAGGAGTGACTGTCAATATATGTCAATATATGTTGTAGTTTTTTTTGGTTTGAGAGATGGAGAATTTATGTTTCCAGTTATACCGTCGACTGTTTATTCTCCCAGAGATGTATAAAAACACTCCTTGTTGTACGTCCCTAAATTCGTTTTATGATAATATACTTGTATATACTGTTAGTTAAAAAGTTATTTGCCATGTTATATGGCACGTATCAAAGGGTTATATAAGTGCTAGCGTTTTAACCCGCAAGGTGAGGATCATATTGTAAACATCAATTTATACGATACCATATAACATGTTGAACATTTCTATAACGAATTACAAAATGCAGCAAAATTACTTTATTTTGGGAAAACCGGAAATCAAGTAACAAGTTGGCAGCAGCCGTGAATAAAGATTACAATGTATGCTTATCCAATGAAAAGCGATGTTACAATCCTGCAATATTTTACAAAATGACCACTTGTGTAATATTCAATAGGTTACTGATTATCATTTAAAACGGATTTTGCAAAGTAATGGTGAAACTTTTCTCCGAGATGACGTATTAATCACGTTGGAAAAAGAAGAACGTACCAATACAGTTTTTACGTTATCTACCAAAACTACATTTCTCAGTCTATCTAAAAGTGTATGGCCTATAGCTCCTCCAGTATGGTGCAAGCTGAAATGTTCTGAAACAAAAATATTATTTAAAAAGCTTAAACATATACGCAGATCATGTAATGAGATGATCTAATCTTAACATTTTAATTTAATAAATTTACCTTCCCTAACCTGTAACTTAAAAAAGATAAATCACTTCCGTTCCTAGTCTGAAAAGTAAAGTATTTGTGGAATGAAAATCTAAATCTAATTAAACATAAAAAAGAAATACACTTTAAAAGAAGAAATAAATGATGTGAAATGGGAATACACGACTACAATACTATAATACCAAAATTATTTATGATCTAGATGTTTTGCTGTTGTTGTTTTTTCCCAAACAGAAGGAACGAAATGACATTTTGCTTTGAACTGCTTAAGCCCTCAACTTGCTTTCTGTCAATTCTTATATGAAGTTCAAAAAACGTAAGCAAAAATCTATAGAGAATCAGGGTCAAAACAATCATATTTAAATGAATGTGCCTTTTTATCATTATTTATCAAATGAGCCGCGTCATGACAAAACCAACATAATGGGTTTGCGACCAGCATGGATCCAGACCAGCCTGCGCATCCTCGCAGTCTGATCAGGATCCTTGTTGTTCGCTTACAAACCCTATAACAAGTAGAGAAACTGAAAGCGGATGCGCAGGCTGGTCTGTATTCATGCTCGTCGCAAACCTATTGTGTTGGTTTTGTCATGTCGCGGCTCAAATGTATAATGTAGTTTTTTGTAAGTCACAAGCATCAATGTGTGTTTTTCTATATACCATGGTGGTCGTTGGTCATTTCGTTCGGATCGCCAGAAACCACCGAAACCTTCAAACCACTTTTACTTTTGTCAGTCAGAATCTGCTTCATGTTCTCAGTCAAGGTGTCTGTTACAATAACTAGATCGCCATCATTTATTTCGTCTAGAGTTTTATTCTGTAATCATACAAAGTATGTTATGATACAGGTATAGCTAATTTATTTTAAAACTTTAGTTAGTGTTGTACGTCTCCATTTTTATTTTAATTTTCATATTCAGAGGGTATTGAACGTATGTAAGTTCAATACTGAATTTATTGAACGAATTCAATAAATTCAGTAATGACTCTACACAAATATATTATTCTATTTATCATATACCCAAATTAAAAAACTGTTTAAAGTGAGAAAAAAATCACCTTTTATTGACGCCCTATACTAAAGTGTCACGTTATTAACTGCATGAAGTATTAAAAATCTTACTCAAGCATAATAAATGATTTAAATAATAAGTTTTATTTAATTATTTTTACAATTATCAAAATTAGGAAATGCATGTGCTTTCATATCAAACCATGGGATTTTTATACTATTTAAATAATAAGATGTTTTTTTTATACTAGATGAACTGTATTGTCTGTAGTATTCAAGGATTCATGTGTATTTCAGTTGTAGGTAAAATAACTTTTTTTATTTTGATAGTACCTCTTGTGAGTACAGGAAAAACACATTAAAATATTGACCAAAATTCAAAGTGTTTTCGCGTCTAAAAAGCTGAATACATTGATGATATAATACTTGAAATGTCACTGAATCATTAAGTGGTTCGCTTTTTCTCTTATGTTTCTTTTTGAAGATCTATACAGAGATAAAATGTCTTTCTTTTTACATTTAACTTTATTGAATCTGTTAAGCCATATTATTTAATTATAGGGACATAAAGGTCACCTTCTATGTTTAGCATCTTTTCTTCAATAGACCCATCTTTCACAATTTACAGATAAAAACGGACCACCAAAAGTTGTTTGAAAAATATCTTTTCAAACAGCATAGAAGAGATGATAAATCTTTAATAAAAAAATCTACTTCAGAATCTTATCTTATTTTAGAGACGTAGAGATTGTTTTGAATATAGACAACTAATCCGTTCTTTTTGCCACTATAACTTTGACCTGTATCACTGGGCGTTATCTTGCAATTTAATAGACGCTATGGCTAAACAAAGTGTCGCGTATACAAGTATTTTGTTCCATACTGTGAGTGACGCTCATCTTTACATATCAAAGGTTCAATTTGCTTTTATCAAAATTTCTCATATTTATAACCATCTCGTGCAATTTCCTGTCTTGTATATCAAATGAAAATGATCAATCAGATCAGATAATTACATGTACAAAAATCAAAGAACGAAATACATTAAAAATAAAAAAAAATGATTTGATTTCTTGAAGATCTGACAGTAAAACTATCTTTACCAAATCAAAGATAGTCTTTATAAAATATAAAAATAGGAAAATTGTCTTCAGGGGGTCAAATAAGGTTCCATACACATATCTCTGTTTTATGATGGAAATAGTTCTAAAATCAATTTATCTATTGTTATCATTATCTTCCTAATTATCTTCTTATAGAGTTTTTTTTTTTTTTTTTTTTTTTTGGGGGGGGGGGGGGGGGGGGGGTTATTTGCGGGTATGATTTGTATTTTTTTTGAAGTCATAAAGTGTAACGTCTTACCAAGGAATTACAAGTGGCATATTTTACGATAAATCTATACATATTAACAATAGAAACTGTTTAAATATCGTTTGCGGCAAGATGGTATTACTTTAATACTTTAAAATGATTCTTGTTTACATACGAAACCATCATAGTTGAATATGCATTTATTTTCTTTTTTGGTCAAATACATATTTTTGGACTACATCAGTAAATAAACTGTCTCTTAAAATAGTTTTGTCTAATTGAATCAAGTTATAACAATATAAATGTTTTGTTGTAAATACCTTATTAACACTATCAAAGTTTTGTTCAAACCGGCCCTGTTTATTTAACGTATTGCTCTTGTACAAATTGTGACCATTGCCTTCATCAAATATTCCCTGTATACTGGTCATTTCCTCTTTAAGAACTGACAACTCTAAATCTGTCTTTGAAGCTTCGTGTTTTAAATGTTTGAGTGTCTGATCAATTTTGTTTGAAAGTGGCCCCTGTCACAAATATAAGAAAACACATTATATCTAACTACAATAACTGTTTTGTATATACCCAGCTATTAGCACGAGATACTTAATATTAATGTAAAGAATGGTTTTACCGCAATATTTCTTACACGGTAATGAATACATACGTGACTTTGCTTAATATTATAAGTACGAGTATACCTTTAATAGTATTTAAAGATGTATCATAAAATAATAAGAAATAAGGGAAATCTAAAACTCAGTCAACAAACGACAAAATGGACAATGTTTCGAGCTCGGTTTGTACGAGTCCGTTCTTGGGTGGAAGCGGCCATTGCAATTTTGATAGCTGCCCCCAGCACCGCCTTAATGCTAAACTTAATGTCAAATTAAGAAACATTAAAAAAATCCCAGATATATTCATTCATCTTTCATACCTATTTCATAAAACATATGTTTAAAGGTATGATACATAAAATAAATATACCTCTTTCAATAAAGATGGGTTGATTAAAACGGCAGCGCGGCGTTTCCGTGAAGTGGCTCTCATAACGATGAAAGTTGGTTTAATTTGATCATCTGAAAAAGTCGTTGGAGCGTTAATACCGCCCCTAAAATCATCGGTTTCAGTGATGATCCCCCAAGTACTCTTGTGTCCACACAGTCGGTTATGTTTACTGGGAGCCTCGCTGTTATGAAAGGTGGCATAGTCTTTTGGGTCGTCTCCACAGAAGGTAACAAGCTGAGTTAGACAATGGCAGTTTCAAGAGTTTTAAGACTTACAAAGATTTTGCATTCATAAGTGAACCTGTTTTTGTACAAAAGTTATGCATGGATTAAAGGACGTTAAGTTAGTTTTCAGTTGAATCCGCATCGACAAAATGAATAAATATATATATTGAAGAATTTTGAAATATATTTTTAATACTGCAACACATTTGTGTCAGGATATGGATTGAATACTTATGATATCATTGAACAAGGTTGTTTGATGGAACGTTAAAAAGGATTGGTATTTCATTCTGTGTGATTTTCGTATTACAACCTTGACACTCATTAACGCTGTATTATGAAGAAAACATACATCTAATATTCTTACTTAATAACTATATGATTTAAAATTACTTTACAACACCTCTTGAATAAACTGATGGTCCATTATCGATGCCTTTGTTCGCTGATGGTTTGGATATGGTCTCCATAGACAATCAGCGTGATATAAACCTGTTTTATTATCTATTGAGGCAACAACGTGTTGTCTGTCTGCTAGAAGGTCTGTGAAAAGCAAAAGTGGCATATCTATTTTTTAAAACAATAACACAAACCAAAAGAAGCCAAATCAAAAAGTGTTATTTCTTTCGTTTTGTCTGAAAACATTTGATATCAGTTGTTATGTTTATTTCTTATATAGTCTATTTTGGTCTATCAACATCGCTAAATAAAAATAAAACTGTAGCCCTAATAATATATAAAAGCTATTGCACATTGTGTCTAATTAGCGGATGTTTTCAACCTACGTGAGTAGCATATTGTGTGTTGAGCATCATTTTTTTGTACCAATCCTCGGATCATGATCGTGCATCTTATGGCTTCTGGTTGGCCAACTGATGGCGACATGTAAAAAACATTCTCCCCTTCTTCGGCGTATTCTTGAAATACTCCCCATCTAAATTGTGCGAAAGCATGGACAAAGAACTTTGCTGAAAATATTCGGAGAATTTAGCATGTATGGTTTGAAATTGTTAAAATTATAATTTTAACAAAAACCCAAGTTATTATATCAGCCGTTTGATTCTTCTGTTGGCTCGATTTTGATTGTCTTCTTTACAAATATGGTGCTTTACAAAAGCAAATCAAACTGAAATGATACATTTGAAATTTGGAGAAAAACTATTTTGTCAGTAACACATACTGCTTACTAGTGTGTATGGAGATCTAGATTGTTCATTTAAGTTACACACATGCAATATTATTTTACACTCAGTTTATCAGCTAGCATTAAATGATTGAAATGAACAATTATGTAACTAGGTAGCGTATATGAAAAAAACCTTGTATGACTATGGTTTTATATATGTTGGAATATATAATTAATGTTAAAAACTTAATTCCTATATTTAGACAACGAATTATTGACTGTTTCATAAAATAATGACATGTTTCAAATGAAACAAGTGATGTAAATGTGTGCGTTAGATAAATTCTTAAAACAAAGATTATCTGGATATGCTGCCTGAACAAATGAGACGATTTATTACTAAATTATTAACTATTTCAAACAACTTATTAAGGATGCAAACTTGAACATATGCTTAAATTAGAATAAAGAGAAATTACGCTACTGTCAATGTTTTAATATAAGAGACTAAGAAGAAGAATTTCATTTTATTCTTATACAAGTATTCTTATCCTTTATATAAAAAGATACCGGTATTTTTTGTAAGTCCAATTATGTATAAAATCATTGTACTGTTGCACAGTAATGATAGAAGTGAGCTATGTAAACTAAAAATTACAAAAAGATATGGGTGTATAAGAACTTAAATATCAAAGAATGTTCAATGATAAAAAAAAATCTTTTTCATCTTGGAGGATTTTTTATATTTGTTCATTTTCATTTAACTTAGGCTTAATAATTGCCTTAAAATGTTTTTGATACCCAGAAGTTATGCCGTTAATGATGATGTACTATGTACAAATCAAAGAAATAAAAGTTTTGTTCTGTTATGATCATTTAAGAATTTTAACTAAACACTTTAATTTCGCTATAATGTAACCGCGTCAACAAACGAATTGCTTTTCTCACCAGGGTTATTTAAATACGGGTCCGCTCTTGGTGTAGTGAGAAATTCCTTAGTCAACAGAACATGGACGCCTTGTTTACCGCAGCCATCATATGATCTAGTTTGTGGTATGCTCCTCTTGCCTCTGATTGGATCTGTTATAATGACGTCAGCAAACGCTAAGTTTTCGCTCGTGGGCGTCTGGTAAGAGCCGTCGTTTGACCATGTTGACGGAAGCAGGATTTTTATTTCTTTTAAAAATGCTCGTTGTTTTGTAGCAACATAAAGAATTTTTGATGCTTTTGTCATTTCATCCTATTAAAAAAGTAAAGGTCTTATTTTTGAATGACAACTATAATTTCTTCTAATATCTTTGATTAGCATCAAAAGATTGCTAATCCTGACAAAAAATTAGGACAATTGACAATACCGGCAACAGAACAGTTTTACAATTATTTTATTCAGTCTAAGATATTTATCAAAATTAATTATGTATTTCATTACCATTTTCATTTTCAGAAGAAACGTCACCTAGACTATCACATGTATACATGATATATCATTTTTAAATTCATGCAGATTTTACGATGTGTGAACCGATTAGAAGAGGAAAATGAAATATATATTACCTTTAATTTATCAATGAGGGTCTTATCCTCCGGAACGCTTTCATGAATTGCAACAACAACGTTTGTAAAACCATTGTTTTTTAAAACAATAGTTGATGGTCGGCTTAGGCCAAATGCTGGTTTAAATAGCGCGAGCATGCATATTCCGACAATAAAAACAACCATTCTCACAAACTTTGACATGATCTCTAACTCGCTTCTTTTATCAAAGTTTTCAGTCACATAAATCAAATCAAATAAACTGAGTTCATTCAATTATTCTTTCCAAAACCTTACCAATTTATTATGAAATTTTTAAAGCGATAAAGATAGTCCTGTCGAGTTGATAAGTAAACCTCTTTTAAGTGCATACAATATGTATATCCGCCTGCATTAAGGGTGTAAATCAACAGGTTATCTCGTCCGCGTGCCGTTATCACCACGAGCAAACTGCACGAGCCTTCGTTGTCTTGTTATTGTAAATAATTTATATTTTATTTTGAATTGGAACGATATTTTATTTACACTTACTCAATATATTTTATGATAAAAATGATATAATGTCAATATTTTTAACTTTGACTCCTCTTTTAATTACGTATTGACAATTTTATGATTACAAATGCAAGAAAGTTACTTAGTTAAACCCCCTCAAAAATACAAACTTTATTTAACAAAAGCTTTTTTTATTTCTGTGATTATTTTATTTTTATAGTCTCCAAGACGTGACTCATTCACAATAAAGCTGCGCCATCATCTTTTGCGTCTTTTGCGTTTTGTCAATTACTTCAGTTATAGTGATTTAGTTTTTTTGTATGGGGTCAAAATATCAATTTATTTTTTACATTTTAATACCTTTATCTTATTCACATTCAGCACTTTTTGCTTTGTTCGTGTGATAATCATTTAACATGTTCAAACTACATTATAACAACAATAAAAATATTCCTACAGCTTAATGTAACCTAGTAGATTGATGTGAATTTTAGAAAATGTTTCAATCATTTTCATTACATTTATGCATTTTTATACATTTTCAAATTATTATCTTCGGCTGTAATATAAATAGGAACATAAAATTGAGTCTTCCACTTTCCACAACGATCTCACTTTTTGTCCTATACGGAACACACATGTTCAAAATATTTCTGCCATTGCGTTGAGAATATCGTAATGTAAAGCGTTCTCACTAACAGCAAAAATCACTTTTCATTTAATTTAGGTAGTATGTATGGACAAATTGTCATTTTCAGCATAAATAAAAGACAAACTTTACCAGTCTACAAATTTGTTAGATTTATTCAACAAATAATCATAACAACTTCATGTACCTGAGCAATTAATTATAATATCAATCAAAATAACAGCATAGAAACGCCAACCTGAGACATGAAATAATATTCAAAACAATGAGGTCATACTAAAAGTGATAGATACACAAATCTAAAAATAACTTTTTTTACAGGAAGTCACGAAACCGCTATGGTCTTAAAGAAGTTGTCGTGGTAACAACATTTGAAATATCCCCGATGTTACCACTGTCATCGAACGCTCGCACAGCGAACACATATGTCCGAGCAAACATCTTGACGTTCCACAAAAAGATCTCAGTCTCTGTGGCGCTTGATTTCGCAGCAATCGTCTCATTTGCAACATGTCCGGTGCCATCATAACTTCCGGAAGAAATATATTTTAGGAACGAGCGTACGTTATTGATGTCATATCCTATATAAAGGTGGTAGCCGGAAGCTGAAATAATACAAATAATTATTTATTTGAATATTTCAAAAAGAGCTGTGCTGATTGAAGCATACATGAAATGAAGTTAAAGCTTAATACATGTATATCTATATCCGTTTAACATAATTTCATACCTTACTTTTTTCTTTAATTAAAAAAGATATAAAACCATATAAACACTTCTATATCTATAAATTATAAAACACATCAGATCGTATAATGAGAGAAGCACATAAAGGGGAAGTACTCACGTTTTCCATGATCAAAGTCATCACCAGGTGTTGTCCATTTTAGTACAATACTGTTCCTATATGGAATAAACGTCACTGCTTCCAAGTCGGTCATCCTGGAAGGAGGTATGACGTCACGATCTTTGGCATGCATATCGTTTATCCGTATACGACTGATGTGTACTGTACCAGCTGGTATTTGGCGCTGAAAATTGCTCTCAATTAGACTATGAGTGTTATCCTTCTTTGTGTAACCTTTTTCTGTTGATAAAGAACATCACATATAAGTAAAATATCAGAATTATTTAACTGAATTTGATGTAAATGGATAGATCTTTATATGACCCTAACCTTTCTAAGTCAAATTATTAGTGCATTTCAATAAGAATTTCATCACAAAGTATTTGTTTACAAAAGAACACATGTCAATGTTTGTGGTTTTCAAATGAAAGGTCAGAATAGGGATCTATGGGTTCTGTTTCCATTTCTGCCATTTCTAACATTCCTTCAATAACAATGGAACGTTTTTCTTTATTTTCAGCTTATTACTTTCTACACAAAAGTCGTGGTATACACTTACTTTGATTTTTTAACACACAGAATTAGTTTGTTTTTTCTTCTTGCATTTGGTAAAATATTAAATGATTGAAACTTTTTGTACACTGTGTGTTTGTGTAAAGATATACTATGAAAAAATATAGAGGGAAACAAATCAAACAAATCATAAACCATAACCTTTTTGTCTTTGGTGGATGCTTTACCTTTCTGTGTGTCTCCTGTAGAGTTACTTGTAACCATGTAAGTCACGTGATATGATCCATTGATCCTTGGAGCAATAAATGTACGTGAATATATTCCATCATTCTTAGAAATGTCGACTCCTGAATCAGATTAGTGCAAATTAGTAAATTGGACGATGATGATAACTTGTTGTATATCTATAATATTTCATATTTTTTCAACAATAAGAAATGTAAAAATATTTATATAACATCATATTTTTCAAAGTCTAGATTGCAATAATGTGTGCAATTCGGTAAATCTCGCTGTTTTGCAGTGTCAAAAGATATGAAAATTGTTAAAGTAACCATGGAGTTTTTAGTTTATTTTTTTTCGGTTCTAGCAGGTTTTAAGCGGTAAGATTTAAGTAACTCTGTTAGGGATTTGGTTTATTTGAATTTTAAGGAGATTAATTTACCTGCTCCATTGTCCAGTAAAGTGACATGTTCTACTTTCATCTCCGGTGTCTCTATTTTGGCCACAACTGTTAAACCTGTTAATGGACTCGAACCTTGCATTGCATCAACATGTAGTAAAATAACGTTCTCGTATTCTTTGTCAGTTTTTACTGAATGTTTCAACACAATTGGATCTATTTTTATGTTTTCTTCTTCTGATATTACTGTAACACGCACATTCTGAGAACTCCGGGATGTTTGCATCACCGTATATGTCCATGTACCTACCTTTAATAAAGTACATAGTCTATAAGAATGCAAATATGCCAATTCCGTAAGCACATGTTTATTTGCACATATTATTCGTTATACTCTACTTTTGAAAAAAGTCGGGTTAGAAAGATATTAGAAAGAAAGAACTGGGCCTAAAAAATAAACTATACCAGGAAAATTATCGACATGCTATGAGTTTCAAATTAAAAGTTAATATATTTTGAATTGTAATTACTTCCAAAACCATTACTCTTGAGTTACAATGATAATTTCTACGAAAGATTGCAAAGCTTAGAAAAAAATACATATCACCTTTACCTCTGTGAATTCCAGATGGAATCTAATCACTCTTAGATCATAATCTACAGTACATACGTCATCCTCCACACCGTAAATAACAGCAGACGGTGATCTGAGATCTATGTTCGGCTGATCTACGTCATAGTGAAATATGAATGTCACGTGATTCACCAATGTTTGATCAATCAATACAGAGTTTGAAACCGGTACCATGTTGGACAGATGTATTGAATCCGTGGTAATCTGAAATGTTAGAATATAGTATTTGCTATGTATGTGTATAAAGCTATCTATAAAATATCTGCTGCCTATAATTTACAAAATCATTATTGTTTGAAATTAAAAAATAAATACTTATCAGTTATAAAAGTTTGCTTTTCCTCACGATTTTTTTTCAGAAACCGTTGCATTTAGCGACCATTTGTGGTGTTTTCATTACGTTTGACTGTAGTTTTAAAAAAATGAGCCGCGTCACGACAAAACCAACATAGTGCGTTTGCGACCAGCATGGATCCAGACCAGGCTGCGCATCCGCGCAGTCTGATCAGGATCTATGCTGTTCGCTATCAGTTTCTCTACTTGTAATAGAGTTGGTAAGCGAACAGCATGGATCCTGATCAGACTGCGCGGATGTTGCGCAGGCTGGTCTGGATCCATGCTGGTCGCAAACGCACTATGTTGGTTTTGTCGTGACACGGCTCGAATGTATTAATTATACTAACAACTATTTTTCTTGGTGTTTCTTCAAGGATGATATTTCTTAACCTGTCCAAAAGTGTGTGCCCAACTTCCTTTCCTACAGTATGAAGATTGTCTGAAATGAAAAATCGCAGTTGTTGTTTAAAAATTGTTTAAAACATAACGAATGAATGTAAAGAAAAATGATGTTGAATTAAAAGGTTAACCACGTTTTTTTTGTAATTATGATCCGTGGGTTAACAAAGGATTCAACGATGCTATTGCGTTCGATTAATTCAAATAATTTTCGTTTAAATTTGAAATTATGTGTTATTTTACTATAAACAGCATTCTAAAAAGATGCTCGTATAGTTTCATTTTTAACAATTTTGAAAGTTGAAAAAATATTTACCTAGGTTACCAGCAAAGGGGTTATGGGTGTTTAATATTGCCGAGAATTTTAAACCGTTCTGTTTTGACTCGGTCAGCATTTTCTTCAGTTCAGATGATTCCTTGTCCGTGACAAGTATAAAGTGTGTATCATTTCCTTTTGCCTCTTCTTCCATCATCTTTAATAAAGCAAGTACGTATATGAAACAGAATAAAGATCTAAAAGAGCTAAGATAGTCAATTTGAGTGTAGACTCAACACGCAAAACTCACTTCTTATATTCTTTTGAAAAATCGAAAAGCCAAATTCATTAGATTGAAAAGAAAAAAAGTTTCTTGCAGTAGTTTATAGTTTGATAGTTGTTGAATATAATGAGTATATTTTATAAGCCACTATTCAACTATACTTCATGTCTATGGTTAGTTATTTTAAAGCTTCATACCTTCAGATAAGCCAAAATATTTCAATAGAGTCAAATCTGAGAAAAATATACTAAGATTTTAGGTAAAAAGATTCAAGATTTAAGTAATAGTTTACATGTAATGTACGAATATCCCTTTACTTCATATAGACGTGTTTTGACGGCTTTTCGACCCCCCCCCCTTTTTGAGGCCTCAAACAGTGAAAAATTACCGTATTTAGACCCCCAACACTGTGTTTTCGGTTGGGGAAATGTTGCTTAAAAAAGTGATCACTTTTTCGACGCCGCGTCCTTTCAAAAAGGTACATCAGGGGGTTGCCAGAGGGGGATGTGCCCCCTTCTGTTTGGAGTCCCCCTCATCGCTAAGAAAATTTTGAACTTTTGAGAGGCAAGAAATGACCCTAGGTGTAATCAACACTGAAAAACCTTTGAGTCTATCTCAATCAATTAAGAAGTTGCAGCACTTTGAACTCAATTTTGATGGAAAAAATCAAAGCAAAATAGAGATTTTGGGCAATTTTGAGATGTCCCCTCGTTGCCTTGATTGCTGTATATTGCTTCCTTTTCGTTACTTCATATTTTTTTACTTTTAAAATTTTCGTGAAAATTAGCAAAATCTGGAGTCATGCTACTTTAACCTATCTTTCTGTACCAAGTTACCTGTACAGTCTGTGTAATTTGGTCAGTCAAACTGACTTTGTATGTAGGTGAATGGTGTTTCAGATATGATTCAATATTTTCAACAGATTGAAGTTGCTGGTGAGATATCCTGCCGTCCACATGTTTTACTAGAACTATCTCTATATCATGGATGGATGATTCCTGCTTAAGATGGCCGATGGTTAGATGAATGTCAGTCTAAAATATAAACAGATTGATGTTAGATATATATCTGCGGCAACAATTATTGTTTAAATTTTGAAAACTTATACTTCAAAAATGTTTGTATGAAAGAAAAATGGTGTAAAATAGTATATTGCCTTTACTCCACATGCATGAAAACATTGCCCCTATTTGAAATAGCAGCATTTTATTTTGTTGGGGAACATTTTATTCTGTTTACGTACAATATTCATGTGTTAAATAACTGAGACATTCTATGTTACAAGTTTTTCTAGAATCGACCATAAGATTATGGAAACAAAACAATTTTACTGTTGATAATTTTTATAAAAAATATTTCAAAGGATATAACTTTATATTCTTTAAAATGGGTATGACTTTTTAAAAGTTCTTGGTGCTTATTTTGTTAACATGTTATAAATGTATAACATAATACCTGCTTCGTCAAAGAAGGGTCTATCAAAATGGCTGCCCTGCGTTTTCTTCCAGGCGCTCTCATTACAATAAAAGTCGGTTCTAGTTGAGCGTCTAGACGACCATGAGGAGGATTTCTTCCATTTCTAAAATCATCTGTTTGTGTAATAATATCCCACGTGCTTCTGTGTCCACACAGTCTGTTGTGTTTACTCGGAGCTTCAAAATTGTGCACTGTCATATAGTCAGTATGGTTGTCGTCGCAAAATGTTTCGATCTTAAAAGATATCAAAGACAGAAAATGTTCAGTATCATATTTATTAATCATGGCACATGTATTTTAGAAAACCTATTGTTTATGTATCTTACTATGTATCTTACTTCAGTGTGGTACTTGAAAATTTAAAAAAAAATGTTAACATCGTCTGCGGAGTACGGTTGTAGTTATTGGAACTTTGTCGTTACGGAAGATAGAGAGTAGCTAAATGACAACAGTGACGTTGAAAAAGTAATTCATTAAAGTTGAAATTAAAGTTGAAGGAAGAGAACGTAAAACATAAGTGTCCTCAATGATACTGTCAGCCTTTTGAATATTCTTATTTATAATCAGAATTGAATTATTGTCACGAGTAAAAATCGCATGTTAGGGCTTCATGAGTATTTCATTTATTCAATCATAACATTAATTACCGGTTGCAATTTGGTTTTTCATTTTTTTATTTTTTTCCATTTAAAATCCAACTTACTATTTTGATCTAATTTCTTTTCTTATTTAAGATAATCAACACAATTATTAAATATAGATATGTTACATTTGTGATGTATTGGTGATCCATTATAGACGCTTTTGTTCTCTGTCTGGTAGGATACGGTCTCCAAAGACACTCGCGTTCATACAAGCCTGTCACGTTGTCGACGGATGCCACCACATGAGCGTTCTGTGCCTGAGATGCTTAAATATAATTGTTTTAAACATAGAAATAAAAAAAAATGTCAACTCGCTCTACCGGTAACTTAATCGTATTTCTTCTTTTATTGCTTTCAAGTAAATAGTTTTATTCTCAATTCTTTATTAAATTCCAAAGACGATGATAGCTAAACACAGTTGTATATATAAACCTGCAACTAGGTCTATAAAACTTTTGACAATATGTGACTGTAAACACTTTTGTAAATTCCTGAGAATCATTTTACTCTGTTGTATCCTTCTCAAAATTAATGAGTTCACTAAATAACTGTTTACTAATATTTGTGTTGCTGTTGCTGTGATTACATTATGACCACAGCAAAAAGATGATGATTATAAATAGGAGGATGACCATGAACGACCATAGAATATGATGATGATTATGATTATTATTATTATGATAATAATGATGAATATGATGATGATGGTGGTGGTGATGAACTGTAATTATTTTATAGTGATCTAAACATGAATCATATGATGATGGTAATGATGAAAATGAAAGTGATGATGATGATGATAAAGATGGACATGATCTATATGATGGATATGATGATGATGGTAAACATGATTTATATGATAAATATAATTATGGTGAATATCATAATGGTAATGATGAATATGATGATGGTGGTGGTGAACTAAAATTATTTTATAGTGAGCTGTGAAACCCTACAATGTTTTTGTATCTTCCGTTCGACTTTCCACAAGAATAAAACAATTAATATATAATTGTACATTAAAATACTTACGTAAGTAACATATAGTGTGGGCGGAATCATTTTTCTGTACCAGTCCTCTAAGCTGTATGGTACATCTGATTGCCTCTGGTCGCCCATTTGTCACTGATATATAAAACTCGCTTTCACCTTCTTCTGGGTATTCTTGAAACACACCCCAGCGGAATTGGGCAAAAGCGTGGATAAAATACTTTGCTAAAATAAACAAGGATTGTGACACATTATTCTTAAGACCGCATAGACATAAATTGCTTTAAAGGCACATCATGCCTAAAATCAAATAAACTGTTACTTCTTTTGAAGGGAATACATGAATTTAATAATGTTTAAATAATAGTTTTTGAGAAATGTTAGATGCTTGAAACCTAAAAAGTAGCAATAGATGTGAAATAAATTGTCATAAAAATTGCAAAATTTAAGGGACGTCCGTGGCTCTGTGATTAACAATCAAACAATCTGGTCCTCACCGCTTTGGGTTCGAATCCCGACAAGTACTTTGAATTCTTTCATGTGTGGAAGCTATCCTGCTAGCTAACGGAACGTCCGTGGTTTTACTCAGGTGCCCGCTCGTGCGTGAAATAATGCACGGAAGGGCACCCGAGGTCTTCATCCATCAGTGAAGCTGGAACGTTGCCATATGACCTGACTGTGTCGTTGTCACGTTAAACCCAATCAAGAACAAACACACAAAAACAAACAGCAAAATGTAAACAAAGTAGTATTTTGACTTCCATAACAAATACCTTTTCTTATGCGAAAAATAAACAGATGTAAATATTGTTCCGGTTTTGTTTTTGTTTTGGGTTTTACGTCACATCGACACAGTATAGGTCATATCGCGACGTTCCAGCTTTACTGGTGGTGGAAGACCTCAGGTGCCCTTCCGTGCAATATTTCAGGCACGAACGGGCACCTGAGTAGAAACACCGACGTTCCGTAAGCTAGCTGTATAGCTTCCTCACATGAAAGAATCCAAAGTCCCTGTCGGGATTCGAACCCACAGCGGTGAGGGGCAAGTGATTTGAAGTCAACGACCTTAACCACTCGGCCACGGACGCCCCTTAATGTGTATTGTTCCGGTAATTGGCCAATTAGTATCTTTTGGGATACTATAAAAGTCCACCAACATTTTGAAACAGATTTTGAGAAATAAAAAATAAAAGCATTTCTGAGGCATAATGGGCCTTAAATAGACCATTTAAGACCAGTATTGTAAGTTATATGATACATATAGTTATTACATAGTTACATTATGAATTGTAAAGTCAGATTCAATCATTATCATGGAATTAAGTTAGAGGTATGTTTTGTTTTCTAGATAAATTCAGTACACGACAAATTAACATATTATAATTAAAAGGAGAATGTTATAAAATGTGATTTTGATATATAACAAATAATTTAAGAATAATAAAAAAATAATTGTACACGTGAAGTTTCGTGCATGCACGTGGTAACATACCCGGGTCGTTGAAATAAGGCTCTGCACGAGGAATTGTCAGAAATTCTTTGCTGAGCAGTACATGGACCCCTTGTTTTCCACAACCGTCATACGATCTTGCCTGTGGCAAACTTCGCTTTCCTCTGATTGGATCTGTAATTATGACGTCAGCAAATGCTAAATTTTCTGACGTAGCAGTAACGTACCTTGGGTCCCTCGACCATGTTGCGGGAAGTAAAATTTTTATTTCCTTAAAAAATGCACGTTCCCTCGTGGCCGTGTACAGATATTTGGATGCCTTCGTCATGGTGTCCTACAATAGAATAAAATAGATCCTGACATAGTACATAGGACCGTAACAATATACAGCGTAGCGATATGGTGATACAAAATCTACTGACCGCAAGATCAATCCCCGCTTCACAAAATGAGACTATTTAAAAAGAAATTCTTACAAAATTCTGGAGTGAATCGCTCATATGGGTTACCGGTGGCAACTTTTATTTAAGTGCATATTATTCAATCAAAGCGAAAAAAAAATTTGATAGAATATCATTATATCAAATACGGTTTAAAGTCAAAGCATGCAACATAAACGTTTATCACAATTATGGATATGATACAATCGTTTCATTTCGTTTAGCAGTTTTATACTGCAGTGTATCATTGATGCACACATAACTTTTTAGCGTAAACAATATTTTCCCATTTATGAAAAAAAGATAAAATGATAAAAACTAGGCATCACATTGGAGTGATTTACTTGGGCAACGCGAGAAATCAAACTATGCGTGTTAATTTGACATCGTCATTAGTCCAAATGACGCGTTGTTTTTAAGCGCAATTTTATGCATTGAGTATTAAATTGTGTTACATTATTCAAATATTAGACCACAGTCGCTCCGAATTGACTAATCACAGCTCATTATTTCCGTTGTTCGGTTTTCCCCCGGTCTTTCTGATAGAAAGTAAAACTCGTGGAATTGTCAACTCCACGAGATTTTCTAATTTTTACACACCAAGTAAACTTCATAACGGATTTTCTTTAGTTTATGCAGGTCCATCCGAAATATATAGACATGTCACAAACAAAAGAGGTGGTGTGTAAACACGAATTAAAGGCTAAAACACGTGGAATTAACATGTATACATCGTTTCAGCTCCGATGAAGTGCAAGCAAATAAGCATTTTCATGTTCACGTTATGCACGTGTTTATCTTCTTGTACCTGGGTGATTAAATATATGTTCTGTTATGTAATAAATAAACTTACCTTTAACGTGTCGATCAAAGTCTTGTCTTCAGGAATGCTCTCATGTATCGCTATGACAACGTTCTTGTATTCATTGTTTTCTAAAGTCATGGTTGATGGACGACTTAAACCTTCCGAATCTATTACATATCCTAACACTAATATAACAAATGTAAATGATTTCACGTTCATTGCAATCATTTCTTTTTTTATTTAAGTTTTAACCGAAAATAAAAAAAAATCAAAGTCTCGCCAAGTCAAGCGCGTGAACTTTAATACTTTTTGTACAATAATCGTTGTCCGATTAGCAAATGTTACAAGATACTGTTTACACAAAATTATTAAAATGTTTTTGTTGCTGTTATTGTAATATTATAATAGCGGTACAACTGGGTACATCCGGTTATCAGAAGTCCATTAAAGCGTTTACTATCAGGTCTAAGTGCCAAAGTCGCCATGAGAGCGAATACTTGCGCCTGGCTACGTTGGTTAGTATTAAACAATACCAGGTACGTAACTACGTTGTAACGTAAAACATGTTTGGTGTACTTGTATTGTAGAATCTAAATTAATAGTAGTATAAGGTTAATGAATGACACCGAATAAACGAACATAAAGAAACAGAAATAAATTCTAGTTATGGGACACTGTCTGATTGTTTTGCTGTGGTTACAACTGTATCTAAATTTCGTACTTAATTATATCTTATTCCCCGTTTTTAAAATTGTTTTAAGTTTTTAAAATTGTTTTTTAAAAAACCCCTTTTGTTACTTTAAAATATAGATAGTTTTGGGGTCGTTTTTTATTTTTAACCCCTGTTGTAAAAGTACATATAAAAGAATTTCCCCTCACTTTAATTTAAAATAAAACAATCTTTATTTAAATAAAAATTTTTAAAATTTTCAGTCCCCCCGTAAATTTAGTTAGATACAGTGATGCACAATGGTTTCCGGGAAAATTTAAAAGGGATCTTTTGTAAATAAAGGGAAAACAAATAATGAAACATACGTTTTCACCAACATTTAAAAATTTAACAATTTTTAAAACAATTAAAGATCAATTTGAAAATTAAAAATGTCTGTAAGTTTAAAGGATTAAACCCTTTTTTAAAAGGAAGGGAGATGCAAAAAATGGTTTTAGCTAAAGAAATGATATTTTTTCATAATGAGTAGATGTACCAGCAGAAATGTTAAAAAATATTACAAGCTGTTCAAGTTTTCTACATCAACTTATTCGTTTCTGATAACGGCTAAATGGCCATATTAATTTCTTTATATAGTTATGTTAAAATAATATCCAACAATTAATTATTTCACAAAAAAAATAACAATGTTTTTCTTGTGTTTGAATAAAATGAAACACACCTGACATTCTATATTGTGATAAATATCGAACTGCTTCGCAATAGAATATCCAAATGATGAATAAAAGTTGATATTTTTTTAAAAGGCTGCTAAATATGAAAATTGTGTATGAATTCAGCCTGTCATAGAATATGTTTTATATATAACTTTAGAAGAAAGACATATACATAATAACCATTCCCAAAACTGACTATTTTTTGCTGTCTTTTAATGTGTAATTTTGAAGTAATTTGCTCAAAACATAGCGAGATACCTATTTGTATTTTCCGAGGATGAAAAATCCCTCTAGATAGAAATTTTATTGATTTTGATATTTTGTACAGACATTTGTTATTTATATGCAACCAATATATTACACTATTAGATCTGATTTCTACGTAACTGAAGAAATAAATGCAATCCTGTCATATATAGTTTCTTGTTGAAAATATTTCTTGCTTACTTATACTTCAGAGAAAAAGAATGACACAACGACAACATCAGATTTTCAAAATTTTTCATCCTAAAATGCTTCATTTGTTTGAGAATGAGCATACAGTGAAATGGACGTTGGCACCATATTGCTACTATCTAAAGGCCTCAACAGACGGTAGGGTTTAGTTGTACAGCACTAATTGGAGAAAGGATGTACAATTTTCAAAGCTATACAACACTTGCATTCAGACGCTAATTCTACACTGTAAGAATCATCTGAGGTTTCCCCTAAAAGGATCCCTTTACATTGATCCTTTACATATTTTACTCACTAAATACTTTTTTTCGCCATGAGTAATGATTGAAACACCTTCATTTTAGAAAAAAAAATATATATTTTTTTTAATGTGAAGCCTGACCGAGACTCAAACCTTGGACCCTCAGAATATCGTACTGCGGCTCTACTGACTAAGCTATCTGGCCGCCTACAAACTACCTCTCCTCCCCTAATTATAGAACAATTCAATACCGTGACATAATCATTTTCGGAATAATTTGGGATTCGAACATAACACAACTTTCGGTCTCCTGAAGAGTTTTTCAACATCATTTTACCCCATCTTACTACTATGTTTACCTTTTTAGCCCTAATTGTTCTGGAATTTCCTTCATAACACCCATTATCAGGAGATAATTTGCTTATCTGTTACTTGTCATTGTGGGAGGTCTGTAAAAATCTGTACGACAAGATTTTCAAAATAGAACATGTCCTATCCCTTACATCTAGACTTAAGGTTTCCGAAATCATGATTTAAGACATTAAGATTTGTCTGTACATCTTAGTTTTAATTGGTGTTGTACTGCAAAATCCTACCGTCTGATGAGGCCTTAACGCGGCCTGACTATCCTGAAAGCGTGTAAACAGCGTGTATAAATTTTCAGGAATACCACAACTTATTCACCTGACAAAGGTGGATAAGCCCCGTGATTACGTTCAGAAGGACGTGTAATGACAGATTGCTGCAGTGATGATAGAGCAAAAATTTACTGATTACTACAGATAGTTTATAAATTTTGTGCAATATCAATTCCACGTACATCAGGACAATTCCAATGCTATGAAATTACTGTCTTATGACCAAAAAATACAATCAGGTGATTTTGGACTCGTTTCTCTAGTTACTAAAATATTTTGAGAGAATTTAAAAGTGACAGATTTGGAGAAATCCATGTTTTGTTGATGTTTTTTCAAAATATCTCAGATTTGAAATAAATGAAGGGATTCTGTGTTACACAAATAATATGTATCACTTAGGGATACATTTTTGCTATGATAAACTAGTGAATTCTACAAACAAAAACAACACTTTTACTAATGACAAAACTCATTTTGATGACCAAATGGATTAAAATTTTGAACAGACACAATGCACGATAAACATTTTACGGGGAAAAAAATAGAAAACAGTTATGTTATTTTTTTCAGATAAAATAAGAGTAACGTAATATTTAGAGTTTAGTTCACGCTGTAAATAAAAATCATTAAACATGAATTTTTATTTATTTCATATAATTGAAAACTCCAGCTACTGGAACAGGCTTTTTCTATGTTTGTGAAATAGCTTTCAAAATAATAGGATGAGAATTTTATTTCACCCACGATTATAACGTAAGCCACCAAGCTCTTACCAAAATCGAGTTTCATTATCGAATTTTTAGAGTATGTCTTAACATGACTTTTAGGATTTTATTCAATTATTATGTAATAACTAGTGCTTTGCGAAAATTTACGTATATATAAGTACATGTATATAAATTGTTGCAATTATTTATTATTATAACGATTATTTGTAGTATTGAAAGCAACCACAAAAATATATGATACATTTTTTCTAAACAAAACGATTATATAACAGGTTATTATTATTGTTGACTTTTATAATGAAAATCTTATTGGACGAGTTCAAAACTACATTGGACGAGGCGTTAGTCGAAGTTAATAGTGTATTGTTTTTAACAATGTATATTGCCCTCGAGCTCTTTATTTCATATAACCAATTTTTTTGACATTATGATATTATTCAAATTGTAGTACAAAAGTGATTTTATTCAGATTTTTTGGACTCGGGGAATGAAATCGTGACTAAATTACAAAGACTGGATCCAACAATGATTTATATCCGGGGATCACATGGAAGTTCATTGATATAATAATAATAATAATAATAATAATAATAATAATAATAATAATAATAATAATAATTATAATAATAATGATGATGATGATAATAATAATAATAATAATAAAAATAATAATAATAATAATAATAAAGACTTTATTTAACTAGAGAACTCATTTGAACAAACATATCAATTTTCCATGAGACCCTCAACAAGGAACAATATAAATTAAACATATTCAAACTTTTAAAATACATAAATGTAAATAAATACAGCAGATTATCAATTTGAATACATCAATGTGCGATAATACCTCAAGTATAAGGTTTTAAAATGGTTCACAGATGTAGCAGACTTAATATAATCAGAAATGCCGTTCCAAATACAAGATCCAGAATAAATAAAAGACTTACGAAATTGTTCAGTATTTGGTCTAGGGGTTTAAAATTGAAAATCAGATGATGAATGTTAAATGCACTATAAAAATTATTATAGAAATTATTCAATAAACAGGCAGGTTCCTGGTTATTCATTATTTTAAACATCATAATAGCTTTTTGGAAAACATCCCTCTGTGAAAAGGTCATTTAGCGGAGTTGTGAAATAAATTTTCTCATTTTCCCAGAACTTTACAGTTATGCTATCATTTTCCATTAACATTAACGATCAAACATGTTATAAGTATATTGTTCCATGAACAATAATGAACATATATGTTCTAATTATTCTCTAAGTTTAAGACTCAATACAAATAAGACTGCTCAGTAATTTTATGGTTTCGGTAGTGATCAGTTAGCTATCTTGGCAACTCATTTATCTTCTAGGACATGCTTACATAATGTATCCCCAACTGGAAATAATCAATTTTGATAACTTACAGATACTTAATATGAATTAAGATGTAGCATAATATACATTTACATTCATCGCAATATAATGAATTTTATATAATAAATGCTCCATACAGTTGTCTTTGTTTCCTCTTTAAATTGTTATTATAAGCATTAAAAATCACTTTCAAGTTTCAATTTTCCCATTTCCCCTTGGACATCTTGCCCCCTGTGTTTCATGTTCAGCATGAAATCTTCAGAACAATGAAGCATTTTACGCAGAGCTAACAGAGCAAGTATATCAACGTTGTTGTCAAGCACAGCCTCGTTTTCGTAATTTTTCACCGGAAGTACGTTAGCACGTGGAAGACCTAGAAGTTGTGACGCTTTATCTACAGCTTGTTCCACTTTTGAACTGTAGAAAACCTGAGACACGTCCTTCTGAACGTCATTACAGAGCTTGTCTACCTTTGTCATGAGAATAAGTTGTGGTATTCCTGAAAGTTTATACATATATAGCAATAAATTTTAGGGAAAACGTATTAGCTGTTTGGCATTTTCATCCCACATGTATACTTTAATACAAAAATACCAATCATTTCAATACATGACTTGAGTAAAAGAGTTTTATATCAACTTTGAAGTAAACAGCCAGATATGATAGAGAAGCTTATCTTGAACAAAACATATATATTTTGATAACTTTGAAATCTACCTTTTTGATTCATAAGTCCACGTAGTCCTTTCATTTTCTCAACAATTTTTGTTGACAACACCTCTAATGTTGTAGAATCTACTACAAACACAGAACAATGAACTTGATCATTCCCAGTAGGGTCAGATTTGAACCCAGACGATTCTGGGGTGATTGGTTTCGTTGGGTTAAACTAAAAGATAGAAGGTCATTAGATATGTAATCAGAAAATTGAGAAAATACAGATTCACTAACACCTTTGCTTAAAACAGTCGTATGAATTGACAATTTATGTTTTTAGTGATGAAGTTTAATGTGATAACATCAAATTTAAAAATTAACACGCTCAATCAGGACATTATTTTCTCAAATTCACTTATTCTCCCAACCAATTAATTAAGAAGACATATTTGCCGATGACACTTTTTGCCAGAAATGTGCTTTTCCTGCACTTTTTCTGTAAAATGTAACTACGGTACAATAAATTGATACCCATTTGCCTGTTGTAACTTTTTATAATTCGTTTTGGTCGTTTATTATAATAGCATCTTAAAAGAGGGATTGAGATTACATAATTCATTTTGTTTTAGAACTACAAGACATGCCTTTCTGAAGAATGATCCAAATATTGATTCTGAGACTTAATTTGATCTTTATTTTGTTCCTGTTAATTTTGTAAACATTTAAATTGATAATTTTCAAAGGTATACCGATCAAAACGTTTTTGTGCAAATCAGCATTTTCAACATTTTGCAAACCAAACAGACCATTATATATTAGCCTTAATGTTATCAATGTTAGTCCATTAAGCAGTTATGATCGTGATCTGATCTATTATTTGCAATCATCTTAATTACGTACCTAACAGCTTGACTAATTCATACCCTACATAAGACAAATATCATCGAACTATTATCATGCACCACTAAAGACGCAGATTGTGGTAATGAAAACAAATATAACTTAAGATCCACTGAACACATGATAGATAGAATCCCTAAAGAACGTCAAAAACGGCAAAATTGAAAATGTTGCAGGCTCCAAATGATACAGTCTGTTCATGGATGGTACTGGTGATTAAAAGCTACCATCAACACCCCTACCATCGATTTACTCAGTTATCAACATTTAAACATAAGAAAAAGTTTTCTTTTTTAATGCAGTTTTCATGGAAGTTTTATAGCTTTGGTTTTAGGGGAAAATGTCATGTGGCTGGTTTGAACATGGTAACTAGTGTATTGCTGGAAACAAAAGCAGAATAATGACCTTCGTTGAAGATTAGAGCGTAGAAATTCTCGGGAAATAACAAAATAATCAAACGCTAATGAAATATTTGTTTCAATTTCATTGCTTTATTAAAAAGGTAAAATGAAATACCATTTTCATTTCAGGGTTTCAAAGATTATAGAGGAACAATGGCTCAAACCCTTTGGCGAAATAAAGGTGTCGCCGTTCAATTTCAAAAACAACCATGCGCATCGTTTTCAGTCTAGTGCCTAATACTAACCAATACTGCGTGCGTGCGTTGCTGTTTTTTAAGTAACATTAATCATTTCAAAAAACTTCTTATAACAAATAAATTGATGATTTAAATGAGGCTCTGAAAAACTAATTGAATAATACCTCGTAGTAGTACGGTATGTTTCCATCAAGTAGATAGTTACACTCTAGTACATCAATACCCATAGTTTCTTCTAGACCACGTGTATCACACAACCGGAAGTTCAATGTAGCCCCAGAACTTATTACAATCGAATATGGAACAAACTAAAAGAAACAATGTCATGTTACTTTATTTGAGCCATTGTAAGTAATAAATTGACTAAGTTCTTAATAAAAAACAACTTTCTTATGATTGCATTATAGTGCCCATTAAATTCGTAAAAATATGGGGAAAAATACCTCAATGCATAATGCGTCTAGATTGCTGATTTTCTATTACTTCCTACTTGGTGCAAATATTGTTTTCAAGCGAAAAATATTGATCCTATTGCATGATAAGAAATTAAAGCATTGAAACTTTAATAAAAATAACATGTTAATATATCACTTTACTAATTGCCGTACTTACTGTAGTAGTGAGACTGTGCTCTGAACTTCCGCTGCCAGCTCGCTGTGTGATTCGCCCGCGGTAAATTGAATCTATAGTATTAAAGAAGCTGGACTTTCCAGCACCAACTGGCCCTAACATCAAGATTCGAGCCTCGCTTACATTCAAATCTTGTATAGGTTTAAAGTTTACTATCTCTTCTTGAAGTTCATTGTGAAACTGAAACAGTGAATACATGATAAGACTGGAATTATTCTTGTCATAGTCAGGGCTTATCAAATCATTCAAAATGTGTATAGTGCAAATAATTATTATTCGTGGGGCAATGTAATCCCCGTATTATCAAACAATGCCATCTCAGTATTATAAACATTTTAAACCTTCAAAAGATTCAACAGTTTCTCAATTATTATTACTTAAAACAATTTATTATGATGTTTCCATGTATCCAACCTAAATTATTATCGCACTCAAGTAATATTTTAACCTTTCTTTTATACGAGGGCGAGACAATGAATTACCAGCCTAACCTATTTCGGGTTGAGATCTGCCTCTACTTTTTCAATATAATTTCCCTCCAGTGCTATGCACTTAGACCAATGGTGTTCAAGTGTAATCAGCCCAAAAGTGAAGAAGTCAGGGTCCTTTCCATGGAACTACTCCTCAAAATAACGCCCTTTGTGTCCCAAAATACTGTGGCCATCACTTTGCCAGCAGATGATTGAGTCTTGAACTTCTTTGTCCTTTGGGATCCTGGCCCTACCTACTGACGACTCTGGGATTTATTTTCTGGTTATAATAATGCACCCAAGACTCCACAGTAACTAGATGCAAAAGGAATCCATCTTTTGACCTCAAGCTCTTCAACAACATACTGCATACTGATGCTTTCGTTGCCATTTGTTCCTTGCTAAGGGATTTTGGGACCCAACGGGCTGTAAGTTTGCGCATCCCTAAACGAGCATGCAAACTTGTTGAAACGCTACCGTGTGAAATGCCCTAATGCCTGTGCTATTTCTTGAACCTGAATTCGCCTATCTGAGTATACCAGATCTCCGAATTTATTACACATTTCTTCGTTGGTGACATCCACTGGGCGTCCAGACCTTACTTTATCTTCTAAAGACGTTCTTCCGCGTTTAAACTTTAACTTGCGAATAAGATGTTGCAGAAGACCCATACATATCAACTAACTCGGCATGTATGTCCTTACCAGTTTTACCCTTTAAATGCAAGTACCGAATTACAGCACGATACTCCACTTTTGATGAAATGCTTGCTTTTACATCACTAGCCATGTTTAACATTCAATATCTGACAAACAAATGACCGTATGCATGTGAAGTTTTGTACCCAGGTATAGTACATGTATTGAAACAATGCGTAAAAAATCAAAGATGTCTCGGTCGATCGTATATGTGTTAGGCTGGTAATTTATTGACTGGCCCTCGTATGTAGATTATAACAACAATGTATTAAACTAGATATAATTTTTATATAAAATATTACCATTTATCAATTTGTGATGAATCTTTATAACACATGTTTTTGATCTCTTCTCATCTTAAATAGACATTAAATTCCATGACTATAAATTTACAATTTCAACAATCTCTGCCAGTATAATATGTCGTACGTCATCCTGACTGTAGGCTAAGAAATGTACTTAAGGTGACAACAGATCCTTTCCGTGGTACTCACAGAAATGTCATTTAAACCAACTTATTTTAGTAATAATTGTTATTTATTTAATATTTGTGCATTAAATGACGTTGATCATCATAAAAAAATAACATATTTGAAAAAATGCCTTTGTAAATGATTGATTTTTAATAAAAATCCTAAAATTTTAAATCGTCATATCAAAGTCATTTTTTATTTTTTTGTCATCAAACTTTTGGAAAATAAACATACTTATATTATGTGGGGAACCGTGTCTCAAATTTTTCTATCTTTTCTCAAAAAAATATTACGTAACGTCAAACATTTTATGCGAATTTTTTCACCATACATATTACGTAATTAAAGATAATTAAGTCGCTGATTGAGCAAACAAAAATCCCTGACACGGTTCCCTCCGTAAATGAATTCCCTTTCATGTGCTTTAAACCGCATGTTAATTGCTTGATTATTAAAAAAGTTATGCCGATTCAAAGTTAGTCCGACCCCCATCAAACGAAGTGTCATAAATCGGCTGTTCTCTCTCGGACCCCTACGTTTCACGCTAAATAATTGCAATATACACAAATATCGCACCAGAGAGGGTCACAAGTTGCGGTAAAATACTCTAACAACATTTTATGACCCAGTGACATCTGACCAATTAAAAAGCTGCTGATAAATATCAGTTTATAACAGAAATTTCTTCAAATCTTAACGTGATTTACTGTCCGTCTGGTATCTGTCGCACATGTCACGTGACTATCGGTAAAATTTGAGGCGCTCGGTGGGGAGAAATGGAACGCATTTGCGCACCGCTAGCGGGGTATTTAATTGTTTCACCTTTGAAGTTTATTATTATTATCATCAGGATTATTATTATATTAAACCTGTGTCACTCTGTCTGTGTATTCGTGTATGAAATTCCGTTAAAATATAAATTAAAATAACAAAAAACTGAGCTTCTGACGGTCTTTTAAAGTCCATGGTAGTTGTACAAATAAGAACGGGATATTATATATTTTTTCCTCCAAATTGATATAAATGCTTCACATATTTTAATAGAAATAAAAGGTATCACTCGATCATTATGATCTGACCTTCTTGACTTCTATTATGATGAATATGCCGTGCACGGCATAGATATCCAGTTTCTACTGGGATATACAATAAATTCCATACTTTGTCCCAGGTTTATTAGTACTGTGTTCGATTTACTGGCGAACAATTTATTCGAAGCATTCACTGATAATATATATAAATATCTTTTTTTATTGATCCATAGAGAAATAATCATCCTTAAAGAATCTAAAATGGTTTAGAAATTTGTCAGGGACACCTTACCACAAGTCATATAGGCGTTCACATAAAAAATGTTGTCTATTTTTGTTGTTGTTTTACTTGACATTGTTAGAAAACGAGGTTGAATGTAAAGCAAGCCCTTGAATCCGTACAAAAGTCCATAAACTCAATGTAATATCTATCAGATTAACGGGACAAATTATTTTCACACATTATGGATACTTTAGCAACTACATTTTTAATCAACCCCGTGGCCGTGCGATTTGCCGCTATGCTTAATTATTTATGTTTCATACATTATGTAACGTACATTGGCCGACAATTTCTTAATTTTAAAAAAAAAGTCTAAATAAAAGGTAGACGATATAATTTTGATATATTCGTAAAACATGTACGGTATTTGTACGATACATGAATTACGAGTAGTATGGACCAGTATGGACCGGTAATTAACGGATATATGGACCTACCGATTTCCCTCATTGATGCCTCAACAGGGGGCGGAGCGTTATCGATAACTGACAGGTTACGCGAATAGCAGATAAAAATGATGTCGGTACCGTTTTAAAACGTTTAAAACACATTTTTGGACTAGCTGCTTCCAAAATTAAATCACGAATGTGTTCAGAAAAGGTTGATAAATGTAATAAGCAAAAAATCTCATTTTAGGTATTTTCAGTGATAATTGACTCCGTTGTCACCTTAACCATTTCAATTCCTTAATCAAAATATCTTGACCTATCCTACCTTTTTGTTCCAGTCTTAGGTTTTCGCCATTGTGAAGGTACTTTCTGCTTCTGTGCTGAAACATCTGTCTTGGCCGAAACAGTTTTCTGCTTTCCTTCCTTGCGACCATCTGGAATAGATCAAACAAGAAGAATGATAAAATCAACATTTGTCTGAATCTTTACTTCTTTATCAAGTATTATTTCATCAACATATATATGTATCATGTTACAGTAAGATATGCGTGGTAAGCAGTGTGTCTAACATTCAATATGAAGATTTTTAATTGTAAAGCTTAATCCAAAGAGACAGATAAAACAAAGAATACGTTCACGAAGAATACTATTTGATATATTACCTGTTACCAAATAAACTTCAAGTTCAGTCACTTCCATTGTATCGTTGTTTATTCGCTTAACAGACACTCCGTTAGCGGTATAACCAGTTTCAAACTGCTCCATACCTCCATTTAAAGGATAGACGCCACCGGAGTATGAATTTAAGCCTATACTTTTCTGATAAAATGTAAGCAGGTCATTTCCGAAGGTGGGTCCGTAGACACTATTATGGAGAACGGCAGTTTTCGACGATTTAACAGGAAACTTACTGAAAGTGTTTATTCCATTATACTCTGGGGGAAAAACTCTGTTACAGAATGTTTTGCTGAAAAACGTTTGAGGAGTCTATGACTTCTGCATACAGAGCCGTGAAAGGTGCTGCTGTGTCCATCAAGACTGTTGCTTGCCAGTATTGTATGGTATGGTATGGTATGGTATGGTATGGTATGGTATGGTATGGTATGGTATGTATGGTATGGTATGGTATGTATGGTATGGTATGGTAGGGTATGGTATACATGTACATGATTATGATTTGTTTTGGGAATTCATCTTAGTTAATTAATTAATTAAAAAGAAGTGAGATAAGAGAAGTGATCTCTTTTTTTCTTTTCTTTTTATTTCTTTTTTTTTGCATCAATTTTATGGTATCGAAAACTTGTCAATCCATAACTTTTTTCTCCAATAGCTTTTGTCAAGCTTTTTATATGCGCATGTTTGGCTTGCGTACAATATTTTGTAAAATAATTGAAAGTAAATTATCAAAAGAATCGCGTGAATTACATTATGCCCTTCCAACAGTACATGGTGTTCTGTTTAAATTCAAAAGAACTTTACATTTTGTTATATTTGTTTTCAATATAATAATAAACGTCACCAGAATAATCTATAATTCATATAAATATCTATATAAATATCCTTCGGAAATTATCGGTAACTTCAATTTATAACAAGAGTGGGACAGACTGAGTGCGATGATAAAAGTAATTTATAACTTGACATTTTGCCATATCTTTTCAGTATTATATTCTGCATTCACAAACTTTAAGAAAAATCTTTCAATTGTTGTTCAGTTGTATATATACGCTAATACACGTACACTTAAAATGGAAAAACGAAAAATAAAGATATGCAATGTACTCAAAATTAAATTGAAAATCGATAGTTAGTGCAAGTCGAACCTTAAATATCGTTGCATTTCAGTTTTTAGTTATTTTACAAAATATAAATGATTATTCCGGAAAAAACGGGGTATGGTAATGATCTAAAAGTTTGAATACAAGTGATTGTAGCAAACCTATATCTAATGGTACATAAATCTTGGGGAAAAACTTGTCCCATCAATTCATGTAAAAACCCTCAGTGCAGTCCCTTTAACTTAATTAATCTCAGAACAGCAATATATATACTTATAAAAACATGTATTTAGAAATCAGTCAAATAACAAATAATAGCTTTCAATTCCAATATATATGTACATTAGATATTTTGCAATTTCACGAAAAAAAAATGTTTGTTTTCTTTTGTTTTTGTTTTAAGAAAGTATGATTTTTTTAAAGGAGGTATGATTTTGAATGATTTATTTCATTCGTACACATATTTGTCTCGATAAAAAGAAATACAGAATAGGAAACAACATACCTGCTTCGTTTTCCACAATGAAGTTCCAACACAATGAAGTCCCTAACTTCCAAAAATACGGAATCAATTAAATTGATTTGCCTTACATAATGGACTATTCAACCTTGTGAAAATTGATATTCATACACAATGTACCAACGGGAAATAGATATTAGGAATTAGAAATTATTTTGGTTGAAATAAAATTAAATGTAACTTTTGGGGGGTTAGTATTTTGAATAAAAACAAGTCGTAAATTTGAGAAAATACATGAAACTATACCATAGAAACCTGAAAAGAAAGTAAATACTACTTGACTTTTTTATCACCAGCATTCGGTAATCTTAATTAATACAACGTATACGGCGAGACTTCGGGTTCAAGATAGGACCGCATCAGGTATGAATATAGGTTTATCCCAAATAAGAACAATTAATCTATTTAACGAATTTTATTGCAATAAAACAGGGACAAATTAAACATAAAAATAGAATTTAATGGGTTTAAGTTATACCATTCTTTAAGAAAATATCAGGATAAAAGAGCAAAGCGAAGCAGTGGTGGGATAATAGCATATAATAAAAACAGATTGTTAAAAGTGTGAAATTGGTAAATTGCTTTATGTGGGTGAAATAAGTTAAAGAATATTTATGTTGCCTAGTGATATCTATGTGTTATGTGTTCTTTATACATTACTCAAGAAAATTTTCCTGTCCATAATATTTATGACTGTGATTTTTTTTTTGCTGATTTAATTTTGTATCAAAATAAAGGAACTGTATATGTTTGTGAAGAACATGTTTAAAACCTGACTATATAAACTTTAATGTGCAGTTACCAGATCATGGTTATTTAGACCTGGTTTCAATATTTCGACTGCAAAACCGACCGACATTAAAAACTGATATAACACGGACGTCGGCCAACGTCTATATAATTAAAAGCCCAAAAGCACACAATGTGTTGGGCTTATTCAGACCGCGAGCGTCAACAGATCACGTGGGAAACAATTACTTGATCTTTGTAAATCTACAGAAATCCGAATTGTTAACGGACGACTAGATATGGATTTAAATATCGCTAAATATACATGCTTTACATATAACGGAAACAGCGAAATTGATTACCTTTTAACAAAGAATGACGATTTAACAGCGCACTCAAATCACGCTCCGATTTCATTCTCTTTAAAAAATATTACTTCGCCGAATGTCGCTAATCCTGAGTCTCGATATATATATACGGAAATATATATTATGAAACATAAAGTTTGACTTCATCAAACACGATTTTCAGCAACATAAACAATAAATGGTTTGATGAAATTTGTAAACAAAAATATATTGCTTATACAAATACAGAATCGCAGTTCAATGTCCAAAAAACCTGCTAAAAATAAAGAAATATATATTGTAAAAAGAAAAATTATTATAAAAATCACTGTAGAAAAGAGAAACAATAGAAAACAAGCAACAAGCTTAAAAAGAAATGAGAAATAAAAAAAAACATAATATTTTGGAGATTATTAAGACTGTTTAGATGATAGTATTGAAATGGACAAGTGTCTTAATCATTTTAAGAACTTTACATCTTATTTTTCAGAAGAAGGAATTGTTGAAATAGAAACGTTTTTTTAAATAGCTATGATAATCGTGAAAACATAAATTTTACATTTGATGAGTTAGATGCACCGTTCCTGTTACTGAAATAAGAAATGCAATTAAACTTATTGGGAACGAATAAAAATTGTTCGTTCGATTATAATTATGTACGAATACTTCAAGAGGGAATCGATATTTTAGATAAACCGTTAGACATGTTATTTTGCTGTTTTTCGCTAAGCAATATTTCCCTGAATCATGGTCAATGGGTATGATAATATCCGTTTTTGAAAAAAGGGGGTTAAAGTTTATCGACAAATTACATTGGTATTACTTTGATAAGATGTTTTGCTGAATTATTTACTGTAATAATAAATTAACGTTTGAAAAATGGGCAATTGTAAATTACATTCTTACTGATGCTCAGTTTTGCTTATCAATCTTATTATAGTACAGTCAATACTATTTTTCTCTTACATATTTTATTGAAAGATAGCTTAATCAAAATAAGAAATTACATGACAATGGAAATAAGAATTACATTGTTGTTTAATGTTTGAACGATGAGGTTAAATTATGTGTCCGACATATTGATACATTTCAGATTTTTTTTCCAATTGTGATGTAAGCCTATAGACCTTTTTACAGTACGATTTTTCCATAGCGACCAATTTTGCATTTTGCGCATGCGCATTCTGCGTAGGGCAAAAGCGCAATAAAGATAGAATACATTTAGCGTAGTTGAAGGCCTTAAAAGACGTGATTAGAAGTTATGACACCCAGAAAACAGAAATTTTAGGATGAATTAAGACGGTTAGTATTTAAATCGTGAAGTGATATATATAACAGATATAGACCTTTTTACGACGCGGTCCGTTGCTACGAAAAAATGACCGGAAGAAGTATTTTCTCGCGCATGCGCAATCTGCGTAGGGCATAAAGAGCATTGCCTTTCATAGAAATGTAGTAGAAATTCATAGACAATTCCGAGTAAGTTTAAGGTAAAAATTCGAAAATCATATAAAATAGCTTTAAATAGAAACACAAAAGATACCTTTAGAGCTTTGTGGCCAAGATTGCCATAAAAAGGCATGAAAAAGACGATTGTTTAAGAATTCTCCCTTACGATCACGGACCTGGCATTGTGATAATTGTTGCAAAAAATGTGGAAATATAATTAGCAAATAAAAAAGTCAATTTAATTGTTGTTTAAATCGTCCATATAATAGCTTAAGAAGTTTTATAATGGGTTATTATGAAAATCAGTCGGAACACGTGATAATGCATTTTTATTTTTCATTTACCTAATTTTATCCTTTATCCGACTTGACTATTATGCCAAACAGAAATTTTTTAAGTCACATAAATATATAAATTTTATTTCAAACTCTTGTGAAGTAAAAATGGGAGGTGAAATAACACACATTTTATCCGGTTCCTCGATCGATTAACATGAAAATGCATGTCACGTACACTATTTGTCACTTCACAAAATTATTAAACATTGATGAGATTGATATAAATAAAAAGTAACACAAATAACGATTTCCATAATTTTAAGACCCGGTTGATATTGTATACAAGCTGACAAATGACAACCGGTCACTTGTCAATCCGTTTCCCACTTACCGCCTTGCCAATCTTTCGAAGGAATACCAATTGTGTAATGTTATGTAATACATGGGTAATAAAATTTATCTTAAACACCCTGCTGTTTCAATTTAAATTACTGATAAAAAAGTTATTTAATGAAACCTTGAACAGAAGACTTTTAATCATTGAATTATTAGTCCCGCTTATTTTGTATAGACCTTTTTACAGTACGATTTTTTTCCATAGCAACCAATGTTGCATTTTGCGCATGCGCACTCTGCGTAGAGCAAAAGCGCAATAAAGATAGACTATATTTAACGTTGTTGAAGTCTTTAAAAGACGTGATTATAAGTTATGACACACAGAAAACAGAAATTTTAGGATGAATTAAAGCGGTTAGTACTTAAATCGTGAAGTGATATATATAACAGATATTCAAAAGTAGCGGGACTAATAATTCAATGATTCAAAAAAGCTTAAAGATAGTTGTCAAGATTGACGTTACGCTAAAAGATCTATTATATATAGTCGTTAAGATAAACGTTAGCTCTGCTATATTTTGAGCAATGAAACAAAATTCCAAAATATTATCGGTTTACCCTTGAAAACAGTAACTATAAATAACTTGCTTGAACTATATCAAAACTCGATTGAGGGCGGTCGAAAAAGTTGTTATAACTTTTGGCCCAACCCTTTTGTATATTTACATTAAAAAATGTATTGCATTATTGTGAAACTTCATGAATGTGTATTGCGTGCGTTCTTGTGTGCGGCGCGCGCCTGTGTGTGTGTGTGCGTGCGTGCGTGCGTGCGTGCGTGCGTGTGTGTGTGTGTGTGTGTGTGTGATAACGCTTAAACGTGCAAAAAATATGTTGCCAGGGCATACATGTACATGTGAATATTGTTTACATAAAACGAGTACTAGTAATATATTTCCACTATTGTACAGCGTTTCAAGAAGTTCTTCTTATCGTTCAGTTATTTACATGCAACAAGAATTTTTCCATAATGCGTATATTAATATAGCATTCTTTTTAATTCCGTTTTTGTAAAGTTTCACATACTATGATAAGCGTTGAAAATCACTTTTCAAGTTTCAATTTTCCCATTTCCCCTTCAACATCTTTCTCTCTGTGTTTCATGTTCAGCATGAAATCTTCAGAACAATGCAGCATTTTACGTAGAGCCAACAGAGCAAGTATATCAAAACGTTGTCGTCAAGCTCAGTCTCGTTTTCGTAATTTTTCACCGGAAGTATGTTAGCACGTGGGAGACCCAGTAGTTGTGAAGCTTTATCTACAGCTTCTTTTACTTTTGTACTGTAGAAAACCTGAGCCACGTCCTTCTCAACGTACTCACAGAGATTGTCTACCTTTGTCAGGAGAATAAGTTGTGGTATTCCTGAAGGTTTATATATGGGAAACATTAGAATAGATGTTACTACAACCAAGATTGGAATTTCACATGCATCAAATGAACTTATAAATCTTTCCAACATAACAGGGATCTATGAACGATGCAATAGCATTGTAAAAACAGCCAAATGCAATCGAGTAGAGAATCTTTAATATAATGAAAATCTCAACTTTAACAAAACTTACATATTTTGATAACTTTAAAATCTACCTTTTTGATTCATAAGTCCCCGTAGTCCTTTCATTTTCTCAACAATTTTTTGTTGACAACACCTCTAATGATGTAGAGTCAATTACAAACACTGCACAATGAACTTTGTCATTCCCAGTAGGGTCAGATTTTGAACCCAGGCGATTCTGGAGTGATTGGTCTCGTGGGGTTAAACTAAAATTAGATATGCTATGATAGATTGTTATGAAATGTTAATTTGAAAAGTAACAAAAATTATTTTTGGAGGGGTGTTGTTGTTTTTTCGTTCTTTCTTTTTATTGTTGATGTTTTTTTTTATAATTCGTTTTTGAAATGTTGTTGGACTTGTAAAATGGGCTATAATAAATTGAAATTTACTTATTGCACTGTAATGTTTTAATGTTTTCAGATACAGACTAATATAGTGGATTCAAAAAATTAATAAATTTTCAAAAACAAATTGAATGATACCTCGTAGTAGTACGGTATGTTTCCATCAAGTAAATAGTTACCCTCCAGTACATCAATACCCATAGATTCTTCTAGACCACGTGTATCACACAACCGGAAGTTCAAGGTCGCCCCAGAACTAATTTCGATAGAATACGGAACAAACTGAAAGAAATATATAAAGTCCGGTTACATTATCTAAATCATGGTGAAGTCATCAATTCTTCACTTTATTGTCTGCTATCGGTTTTTTGTTTCATTGTTGCTTTTATTGGAAGAGAAATGATTGTTATTTGTCAAATATGTGATGTTTAATTTTAGAACGGTAGGTGTTGAGCTTTTTTAAAAAGAAAGAAAATACAAAAAACCTGTATGTGCAGTATGTGTAGTATGTGCAGAACTTAATATTTCATCATAGGTACGTACTGCAGTGGTGAGACTGTGCTCTGAACTTCCGCTGCTAGCTCGCTGAGTGATTCGGCCGCGGTAAATTGAATCTATAGTATTGAAGAAGCTAGACTTTCCAGCACCAACCGGTCCTATCATCAAGATTCGAGCCTCGCTTACATTCGAACCTTGGATAGGTTTAAAGTTCACTATTTCTTCTTTAAGGTCATCATGAAACTGAAACAGTAAACACTCTTATCATGACACATATGTACTTTTTCTCTTAGCATCTATACTTTTTCTCTAATATCATGACACATATGTACTATTTCTCTTATCATGACACATATGTACTTTTTCTCTTAGCGTGACACATATGTACTTTTTCTCTTATCTTGACACATATTACTTTTTCTCTTATCTTGACACATATGTACTTTTTCTCTTATCTTGACACATATGTACTTTTTCTCTTATCATGACATATATGTATTTTTTCTCTTATCATGACACATATGTACATTTTCTCTTATCTTGACACATATGTACTATTTCTCTTATCGTTTTCCTCTCATACTTAGCAAAAGTATATTGTCTAAGCAGAAGCAATAAAAAACTTTGTTTGTTTGTCGCCCGTTATTATCAAATTTCTTATGAGCTATCTATAATAACAATTCTGCTTGAAAGAATCAATTATTCTCGCTGCCTTAAAATACTTCATCATTTCCGCAATACTTCTTACTTATTATAACTTTCATATTTACATTTCATGCCATTAATTCATGTTTCATACAATCTCCGCCAATATATGAGACCTAAGTCGTCCCGCACGGACACAATAAACCGTACCTTCAAGTACAATATTATTTAATCTTGATCTATCTAACCTTTTCGTTTCCAGTCCTTAATTTTTCGCCAAGGTGAAAGCTGTTTCTCTATTTTCTTTTTACGCTCACCATCATAACATTATAATGATAATATCATTTTCTGTCAGAACATAATATTTTACTCTAGACATATACTATAAGTACATAATCATTTTACAAATACATAAAAAGTACACATAATAAGAGTCATAATGGAAAAAAGGTAAGCACAATTTCCCAAATTCATACTTTGAAAGGATGAATTGTATTTAATTTTAAGAAAATAGTAGTTCAATGAGAAAGAGTAAGTTTAGAATGTCAACCTTTTTTTCAGAATACTCTCTGACTTCTTGTTTTTAACAATCATGCAAGTATAAAAATTATTAAATGTCGTCTAATTACAATAATTCAAAAGTGCCAATAGCTGTCACTCGTTTACTATAAACTTTGGAAAAAAAAACAATATCGTTTCCATATAAGCAAAATCAAACGAGACAGTAAGTTTTAAATAAGACAAGGGGGTATAGATACATTATTCCATATAAATGGAGTCAAATTTAGATTTTTGCAAATGGAAACAAATTTTGAAAAAATAATCATAAGGGTTAAAAAAGTTGGAGCAAAGAATAATATCTGGTTAATTCACAATGTCATCCCACCTGTCTACCCATGTAAAACTTCAAGTCAAAGTCTCACTTCCATTGTACCGGTATGTTTATTAATGGTTAGATTGCTGTCATTCCCTGGTTGTTGTATGTATTTCGCGAGAATTGATTCATACTTCCATTTAATGAAAGATGTTTTCAGATCGTTATTTCACCCTTAAAATGTGAAGAGCCATTAACCAGATTCACAAAAAATGGACCCACAATTGATTATAGTGAAACTATGGCACCATCCGAGAATTTTACCTCCGACAATAGTTATTGAGAATTTGTCCTCTGCCCACTATACTTGAAGCTGGTACCCAAAAACGCTTTATCAATCTTTAACAATAACTCCGCTTTATTGAGACGTCCAACTGATACTGGTAAAACCACCCAATACTTGACCCAGTTGGTTATACAAGAACCGGTGACGGTGGCACCCTGTTGTCCACATTTTTTGATGGAATGTTCACAGGATCACATAATCATCTCTTGTGGACTTGCAAAAGAGTGTAAATGTCTTGGCAGACTGAGTAATCTATCATTGTTCGAGTGGTCCAAATATATTTCTTCTGTTAATTTTCCTTTCCATTTCATCGATATGATGAGTCGCCAATTTAATCAACTAAATCACATACTATTAGAGATAAATAATGTTGTCTTGCACCTGTTAAAGGCATGGCAATAAATAATGAACATTCCAATAAACCTCATAATGTCACTATGAACGAGTGGATAATTTTTAGCCGCAGAACAGAAAATTAATTTTAGTGCGCATGTTCTTACACAAGAAGCGAGAATGTTAGTTCATCTAGATTTACATAAATCCTGGATTCTAATATATTATAAATGTAATATAATCTAGAATAATTTAACATTGTCATAACTATCGGGTATTTCCGTTTACATCCGATAAATAAAGACATACTACAGAACGCGTTAATCGGACAGAAGCTTAAAATCTGATAACCGTTTAACCAATTATTTAAATATGATAAATAATTGTCAGCCAGTGGTCTTCCATATATATATCATATAATTAAAAGACTATATTGTCTACAAATTCGTCTCGTGGTCTAGTATCTATAATATTTGCGTAAACAAGATTACATGTACATATAAAAATAATCATAACTTTGGTTTAAACAATCCTGTGATAATGGTCTGATATTAACAAATGGAGACTGAGAATAATTGGGAGTCTAATTACACGCATGCTCGCAATATCCAAAAACACAGTACATATGTAGTTAATTAGACTGATACTCGTAACATAAACTGAATTAAAATTGACCTAGATCTAATAAATTGTACAATATATTGAATACGTGAAACACCGAATTAACATGCTTCTAATTATAAAAACAAAAATCTTACCTTTACAAATAGTAAATATTCCATAATATAAATAGTTCCTTTACAGATGAATATAGTACTGTTTGTCTATGAGATGTGAGCGTGACGTTTCAATGTAAAGTGTACACCAGATTTTTCAACAATCGACTTAAAAGGTGATATAGGTCATAAATGAATCGAATTATAATAGTAAATGTGCGTAAAGTTGAAAAATATATTGTCTTATTTGTTTTATTAATAAACTATATAACATATACCTTTATATAATAACTAATTGTACCTGTGCTACGTAAAGATATATAAGTTAAAAATATATAGTACAGTATCCCAAGTTATTTCGTGTCCAACTAAACTAAAAAACTGATACAAGTGTGTGCATATCTTGCAATTCCGTGTCGTTTATGCACTGCTTTAGTTGCATGTAATTGTAATACAGTGCTATATGGTAGCATCAAAACTTTAAAGAAATGACTGACAAACAATGAAAATTTGAAAGCAAAACCTATCCTAATTACCTCGACGTGTCTTACTAAATTATTCATCGTGTAACAAAAAAGAAATGAATTAAATATAATGTAAAATTATGCTTTTAATAAAATAAAATATGAAATAAAATCATTTAAAAAGATCATTTATTGAGTCAACATGACTACCTTCATGATTGAATTCTAACCTAAATTAGAATTTGACCTGCACATCACTTTTAACAAATCTATTCCCCTGTTAACAATAAGGTGATGCCAGAAAAAATTGTGGGGGCGTTGCGGCTTGGATCTTTTATCCAATAAATCGAGATACGAATTTAGCAATGTCGATATAACTCAAGCACTTATCTTAAAATGCATTTACGAACTCAAACGAACGCACACATAGCACTAACAAGAGTTTCTATTTTGTTTACTGAATATGAGGTATAGTCCGTAGGTAATAATTTAAAAAATCGTTTTCATTTGCGTTAAGACGATTTATCTAGTGAATCGTTTGGTCGATAAGCTTAGAGATCTATTGCTCAAATAGTTCAGCTAAGTAATTTTTCTTGACGGTAAGCTAAGAGCTCTCTTCTTCTAGTCGCAAAGCTTATTGCTTCATTCTTCTTATAATTAAGCTTAGATCCCCATATTCTTATAGTCGATAAGCTTGGAGCTCTATTTTTCTACTTGTTTCTATTATAAAAGTGCTCTATTCCTACAGTTTTTAAGATTTATGCTCTATATTTTAGTCATAAAGCTTATAACTTTATTCTTATAGCCGTAAAGCTTCAAGCTATATTATTCTAGTCGTTAAGCTTAAAGCTCTACTCATCTGATCGTTAAACTAAGAACTTTTTTTCTTATAGTCGTTATAGGCTTTGCGTTCTTTTCTTCTTGTCGTTAAGTTATAAACACTATTCATCTGGTCGTTCAGCTGGGAACTCTGTTTTTATAGTCGGTTAAGTTTAGAGATCTTTTCATTATTCATTAAAGCTTAAAGCTCTTTTCTTGTAGTTCTTTGAACGTTGGATTTGCTATTTTTTATAGCTTGAATAGTATAATACGAAACGAAATTCTAAAATCATTATCGTTTTAAATTTTTAAAAAGAAAAAAGTTACTTTGCTTTAAAATTGTATTTTTAAAAATTTATTGTAAATATATAAGTTACATTGTTGGACTAGAACTTTATGCTATTTTTTTTTTTTAAATCGAAATAATTACACATTTTCATATTTTGAGGTTTATTATTTAATATTGAGTACAATACTAATTTTTTTCAGATAAGTAAAGAACTGTCGATTCTCAGATGGTCTCTGAAAAATAAAACAAGACTAGACGGATTACAATAATGAATTAAATTTCATTCAGTTATCTTTACCAAACTATACTATAAGTATACTGTCTTTGACTACCGGCGTGACTCGCAAAACACTTCTTAAAATAAAAACAAAGTGTCTCAATAAGTTTCTACATGATAATGATCACCACGCGACCAACCGGTGTTACCTCTACTGAATAATCAGTTTTACTTTTGCAACGTACCGGTCAAGTGTTACTTTTTGTTGATTATTTTTTTAGTTTTATTTGTTCTTTCATGTTTGGAAGTTTTAACCAAGGCGCAAAAGACAGCAGATGATATTCTGCCAGTGTTGAATACGGACGCCGTGTCCGAACAGGAGTGAGGGAATTGAATTTATCTAAAATGATAAAGGGAAAAGTTCTAGTTTCTTAACCACGTGCTTTAAAAATTGAACTTGAAGGAGCTAGATTAAACGCATTTCCGGCATGGAGCCGAATATGAGTTGTACTCTTTCGCATATTATAATAAAGATTTTGGAAAATTGACACAGTCTGATAAGCATAACGGGTGATTTTGTCACACCCGAGAGCTCGTTTTTCAAGACGGACATGCATACGTGGGTATTTCCGCCACGAAACAGAGCTAAGTCTACTGTCAATTTCCCGAGATCACTGCTCCACAGAGGCGAGCGTAAGACCGCATAATTAGTTTTTGAAAAGTGAAGTCATTGAGTTCAAGAACTCTATACCGAACATGATGTTCTATCTATTCATATCCGTGATGTATTAATATAGTTTGAAAAATAGTAATGCTCATTTTGACACTCGTTCAAAACATTCTTCACTTTCTAACGATTCTGATGAGGACAAATAATACGAATATCAAAGATTCTAAAGCCCGGAGAGAGCCAAAATGTTCGGTGAGTCATTTGGTGATGAACTTTCAGAAAATGCTCCTTGTTCTGATAAAGGTTTGATTCTTGATGAATCTCAAATAAGTATTTTGTAACAAATCTGGCGTGCACCTGAATGAGTTACAAGTTACAGGACATGTTTTCCAGTGAATGATTAAAGTGCTTCTATGTTGCAAGTTCGTGTGTAGATGACATTTTAGAGGCTATGTTACAGAAGAGACATAGTTTTTTTAAGCCTTGGGTTAAAACTTACTATCTTTTTACTCAGTTTTTTAAAACTATTGAATCTTTAGGTTACCAGGGCATGTTAACATACTGAATGAACATTATTTCTACATGTTATATACAGCAGGGTTTAGGAGCCTTACTTAAATTATTACAAGACGAAGATTGTTATTTTGATCTTGCAGTTCAAAAATAATAGAGATTTGTTTGTTATTTCGAATAAGGTATTGGATCAAGCAGATAGAACAGGTTCTTTCAATCATATGATTAGAAGGAAAGCAGCTGTATCAAATACAGGTCTCAACACTTTAACAGACGTACATACGAAGATTATGTTTTTACCTTTATCAGTTGATGCAATATTTGGTAAAGCGCTGACAAACAAATTGAAAGCTAGGAAAGAGCAAAAAAATCAATTTTCTGATTTAATTGCAGAATGTTTTGAAAAGCGAGCTCCTAAACGGAAATTACCTGTTGTTTCTAATACAAAGTTTATGGATCATAGCAACAGTGAACAATCTAGATATGAACTGCAAAGTCATATATTAGTTCTCAATACAGATCTGACAGTTTTTTGGGGAAAGAACACCAAGTCGGTCTACAATCCAGCTTGCTACAGATACAACACGGACATATCTACAAAGGGCAAGGATAGGGATACTGCTCTCCCAACTTTTCGTATCCCAAAAAAAGTGGCACGGTAATGAAAAATCTTGTATCCCTGTATGGGGTCGACTCAGATAATTTCAGTCAGCATGACGAAAGATAACTTCAGATCAATGGATTTTAT